AGCAATCTCTGAATAATGAGAAACTATCTCTGAGAAAATACTACAGGCTGTCAAGGCTCTCAGGTGGCAAACTCAGAAGCACTGCTGCTCTCATACCTTGGTTCACCTCCAGGCCTTATCTTTTGGTTTTCCTGGGGTCCTCATGCAAGTAATTGAATGCAGACCTGGTTGTGTTCAAAATTCAAATTGCCCAAATACCATCTTCAACCAGGGACCCTGAAGGCAAGAATCCCAATGCACAGGGTCTCTCCAAGTCCTACTAGTGACCCGAAGATGCAGGTGCTGCTCTTGTTCTCACTCTATAAAAGAGAAAATCAGAGTTCAGACAACTCCAGTGCAGAACCAGAATTTGAACACAGATCTTATGATTCCAAGTTAGAACCCCTCCTATATGAGAACCACTGTTGTGAGGGCTTGCTTTGTGACTGAAAGGAGAACACAGATATTTGGGGCCAGCTCTCCAGGAGAGAGTGCCCTGGGAAGTGGTCCCCTCAGACTTATATTCCCCCACCTGTTTCTTTCCTTGGATCTTCAGATTTCTCTTCCTCACTTGGGGCCATGTTCCACCTTTCCCAATGGACAGTCACTTTTCATTCCTTTCTAATGCTCATTTATCTCAAGTTTGCATAGACTTTATGGGCCCAGGCTTCTTTTAGCTGCTGACACTGGATTAAGCAGTCAGTAATAAACAGATGAACACAAAACATGCCCCTAGCCAGAAAAGACTGCGGTCTTGCTGGCACCTCCACCATCTTAATGTTTCCTTGTGGCTGAGATGAACTGAGTCCTGTATACTCATCAGTCCCTCCTCTGTGGAGAGAAGTGTCCCATGTGTGTGTTTTGCTCCATGAGCCCAGAGGAAGGACCCAGCCAATCATGATTTTCTTCTCTTTTGTGTTCATCTCATCTCATCTACTATTTTTCTACTTAGAAGTTCAGCAAAGCAAAAAATATTTAAAAAATAACTAAAAGCATGCTCATGGATAAAATCAACTCAAACAAGTTGCTGAGATAAGCACATTACTGCTCCATGTGCAACATGGATGAAAGGAATTAGCGTGAATGGGCATGAGACCAGCTTCCGGAGCTTCAAGGGAGCAGGATACCAAACCCAGTTTCTTGGCCACTGCTTATTTTGCTATTAAATGAAGACCTTTCAAAGCTATCTGGCCTTTCTGAGCACTGGTTAGCCCCAATCTGCTCACTTTTTTTTTTGAGATTTATTTACTTATACATACAAGAACTGGGGTACAAGCCAGAGGTGCGAGAGGGTAAGAGGATTCACTAGAGATAGAATAGGGAGCAGAACAGGCAGATTGACTGAAATGCACTGCTGAGGGGAGCAGCAGGCGAGAGAGGAGAGGTCTGCTGCGCCATGTGGGTCACCTCCCTGACTGGGGATTGAACTTGTGCTGCAGTGGCTGTGGACAGCTTCATTGTACTGCACCTTAACCCCTTTCTCACTTTTCAAAGGAGAACTGGTGGTGCTTCTAAAAGATACTGCTCAGGAAAAAAAAATGCTAAAATGAGAATGGGGAACCCCATTCCCATACCCTTTTAAATATCCATATTTTGTATCAGTATCTCCAGAATTTGACTTAAAAAACAAATGCCTCTCCCTAATGAAATGTCCTCTCCTTGGGTCAAGTCACCATTGGGGCAGTGTGGGGGAGAGGGGAGGGGGGAGCTTACTAAAGGCAGTTAGTGAAAATTCTAGATTTTGTGAAGATTGTAGCAGAAAAGATTTTGTGGTCTGGCAACTGCCTCCACCACCTTACTGTTTCCTTGTTGCTGAGGGGAGGTGAGTCTTGTATGTTCATTGGTCCCTCCCTTATGGAGTGCAGCCCTTGACATGGTTGATGGCATATTTCAAACTCATTCTGTGGTGGGCTTCATGACATGACCCACCTTTGGGAATAAAGGACTTGCTTGCCCAGTTTTTGGGAAAGCTGCAATGAAAGTTTCTCAGCTGCCAGCTCCCTGGGGGTGGGAGGGCTCAGCAAGTCCACTTAAAGTCATATTTCCTAAGGTGGCCCCATCAAAGGATTGATTAATGAGTCTATAAAGGCCCATTCCCCTTGGCCCAACTCAGGGCAATTCTAAAAGGTCATCTTGCAGGACCAGATGAGATGTTGTAAAAACTACATCATGGCTCATTTTCACTCTCTTGCTCAGTCCTTCCCTCTGGTATTGATCCCAAGAACATGTCCTAATAAATATATTCCTTGGTAATGTCCATGTCAAAAGTTGATTCCCAGGAGCCCCAAGATCTGTAAGTTGCTCAACTCAGAGTATTCACCCAGAGAGATTAGAATAAAGGTAGGAAGCTACAGAGTGACCCCAAGGAACTGGCAATATTCTTTGATTCTGGACATAGTGTTTAGTCTTACACTTGGTACCTAGCTGATGGATAATGGTGCTTTAATTCTGTCCCAATGTTCAATTTAAGTGAATGTTGAAGCTCCCTTTTACTTTCTAACTTTGATAATAATTGAGTGCAGTCTCCCTGAAAAGGGGAGTCATATACTCAGAAGCCATCTCCACCAGGGGCTTCTCTCCTCTCTGAACTCCTCTTTCATGCTCAGCTTTTACTTCTCAGTCCACAAACATCTCTTTAGTCCCTGCCATGTGCCTGGTGCTGTGACCAGTGCTGGTGCAGAGATGGGTGCTCAAGAGTGAGTAGGCACAGTCCCTGGGTTAAGGGACCCACTGACTCTACCTGAGTGAACAGGTAGAATATATCATGGCTGGTAGTAGGATAGAGATAAATGTGAGGCAAACCTATGAGGGTCATCTGACCAGCCTAAGGCAGAATGGGTGTGACAGCAATGAGGGGATCAGGGAACACTTAAAAGGTGATAGCTGACCCCAGGCTTGAGGGACTGCTGGGCATTAGCTAGGTGTGGCCATTCCCTATGGCTGCTGTAGCAAATTAGTACACTCTCATTAAAACAACACAATATTTTTTTCTCTAATAGTTCTGATGGTTGGATGGCCAAAATTAATTTTATTAAGCTAAAGTCCAGATGTCAGCAGGGCTAGCTCCTTCTGGAGGCTCTGAGGTAGAATTTTTTTCTACCTGACTTCTCCAGGTTTTAGAGGCTACCTACCCTCCTTGGCTCATGCTCCTTCTTCTATTATCAAAACCAGCAGCATAGCATCTTCTCACCTCTCTGGATAACTTTGAATGTACTTGAATGAGCAAGGAAATCACTGTACTTTAGGTTCTTAACCTAATTACATATGTAATATTCTCTTTGTCATATAAGGTGACATATTTATAGGGTCCTGGGAATTGGGATGTGGGCATCTTTGGGGGAAGGTTATTCAGCTTCCAATACTATGCCCAACTGTCCCTTCCAGGGAGAGGGAAGGACATGTGCAGAGAAAGGGAGGTAGGGCCCATGCTCATGTAGGCAGCTCTGGATATTTCATCAAGTGGAAGCAGTTTTCGAGAGAGGCATGTTAAGAGAGCAAGCTGGACAGAGATGTAGGGGAGTGATTTCATTTAGGATGCTATGTTTTGATCTTGAAGTGTAATTAATTTTATAAGTGACTTGTCTCCCTATTTGCCCATAAATTTCCAACATCGGGATTTGGGCCAGTATCTTCCTGCTGCCATCACAGCTCTGGCTCAGTGACTGAAGATCCATACATGTGTTCAGCACCAACAATGCCAGTTTTGTCCTGTTATGACACCCTGGTGGCAGGTGGCAGGTGAGCAGAGCACCAAAGGCAGTGGAATCTGGCTGGCATCATCCTGGACATCTTCATCTTGGCTGCATGACTGGCCTTCTTGTAGTTCACTGGGCAGGGATGTGTTCAGAGCCCACAGCATGTCTTGGCACTGGTCAGAGAAGACTTTTTAGAGTGTGACATAGTAAAACTGGCAAGATGATCATTGGTGAAGCCTGAAGGTGGTACAGGAGGGCTTGTTAAACTCTTCTTTCTGCTGAATATTTGCATAACATAAAGCTTTTAAAAGATTATATGAGCAATAATGAGCTACACCTAACATCCTAGAAAGCACATCAGGTACCAAAATAAGCAAGACATTCATGGAAAGACTTGGGTTCAGACCAGGTTTAAAACAATGGGTTTAAAACAGTGAAGACTTTATAAACCTCATGCCTGTCACTTAATGAGCACCCATACCAGCACTTCATGAACTGCAGAGCCTCATATACCTATATGGCACTCTTCCTCAGTTACTAATTCTAATGTTATTTCCTCATTTTCCAATCTTTTTTGTAATAAACAAGATCAATTTCCTCCACACCTAGAAGCCTCCGTGTCCACTGAAGTTGTTACAGGGCAGGGAAAGGGGCACCCCAGACCCCGCAAACCTGCCTACTCTAAATAGGTTCTGCCATCCACCACATCAACACAAAACATATGAGACTTTAATGGGAAGGAAAGGAACTTTAATATAATTAGGAAACAATGCAGGAAAGGCAAAGAATCTAGTTTCTAAATCAAGCACCCAAAGTTACCCATCCCCTCGTGGGTAAAAGTCCACCCAAGCAGGATTGGCCCAGAGCAAGGCCCCAAAGCCTGCCACAAGTCTAAAGCATCTTCCAGTGGGGACCCACAGAAAAGGGTCAGAAACAACCAGACAAGTCTGGAGGGAAAAGAGCAAAATCAAAATCAAGACAAAAACTGCCATTGTCACCTCCCCACAGGTCTCTCACCCACATCTGTGTCACCCAGTCCACGACCAGAAGGCAAGTGCAGTTTCTTCCCATGTCTCTCGGCTCCATGTGCCTCCTCCAGGTCTCCTTCTTGCTTTCCATTCTGCTTCTTTTCTTCCTCAGTCTCCTCTGCAGCTTTTTCTCTCCCTGCTCAGCTCCACCCTCTCTTGGATGGGGCAGGAAACCTGGAACCTACCCCTTTCCTGGGGACCACCCTGTTACAAAGTTACTCATTCTCAATGTAACCTTCCCTTGATGTTCTCAGCTTACTCTGTGTTGGTTTCCTCCCTTTCTGCCCCTCCTCCCCAGACGCTGAAGGATGCCAGTGACAACGCTCGCAAGGACTTCCACCGTGAGGCTGAGCTGCTGACCAACCTGCAGCATGAGCACATTGTCAAGTTCTACGGCGTCTGCGTGGAGGGCGACCCACTCATCATGGTCTTTGAGTACATGAAGCATGGGGACCTCAACAAGTTCCTCAGGTACCGTGTGGGTGGGGTGGGAAGAAGAGGGGAGATGGGCTCATGGAGGGAGCCAGTCTGCAAGGTTCAGGCAGCGTGAGGAAGAGGAGGGCAATCCTGGAAAAGATCAAGGGACCCGGGACCTTCCATCCTCTGGGACAGTCTGCCCTGGTCATGACAACTGTAAGCTGCAAAGCTTTCCACACCCGTAAGGCACTTTTTGTGTGCCGTGAGCAAAGAAACTGAGTCCATAATGTTGCTCTTTTTCTTTAAGCAACTAACCATGTAATTTGATGCTAGTGACCCATCTCAAATCCCATCTGTATTTATTGAGCATCTGTGACCTTTATTGTCACAAATTTATTGAGCATTTGAGTGGTATGTGAAATGTAATTTGAGATGGGGTTTAGCAGATCTGTAGGAGTTTGCCAGGTAGATAAAAAAATAATTTTATTCTGGGCAAAAGAAATAGTAAAAACAAGGCACTCTCTGGGGAGAGTGGAGTGACTGGAATTGCCAAAAGGAAGAAGGGGAAGGGGCATAAGGAGACTAGGAAGAGTCAAGGTCAGAAAGGACTTGGACTTAATTTTGAGGACAAAAAGAACAACTAGGAGGTCAGTAGGTCAGAGGATCAAGTGTGAAGAAGAGACTCCAAGAGCAAAAAGCTTTAGAAGGAAGAATAAAGAGGTAAAACAACACTGGCCAGAACTATCCAAGACTTGAAGCTGGAACTGTGGCTCCTGCTGAGCCCCTGAGGTCTTGAAAAATGATGAGCTTTGCTTGAGAGATCAGTGGCAACCCGGGTCAGTGGAGGTCAAGACTGGGAGGGAGAAATGTTGAATACAAAAGGGAGCCACTGGGTAATGGAATACGGTTTTTGTCCCAATTGACCTAATTGGGTTTTCGGTCAATTGTGGCTTCTTAGGCAGCTACTTCCCTCTGGTGATGCTACAAAGACCTGGGAGGGGCCACAAGATAAACAAGGGAGAGACAACTAGTGAGCAGAAGGGATTGGGGGAGGTAGGATGGCTTTGAAAGGGAGAGGATGGGGCCCCTCCGGTAGCGCAGCGGTTGAGCACTGGGTTGCGAAGCTGCCCGCAGCCTCTGCAGCGCCGGTTTGATCCCCAGCTGCTCCCCGGCCACTGGAGGAGGGTCCCACATGGCGCGCAGACCTCTCCTGCTGCCCGCTGCTCCCCTCAGCAGTGTACTTCGGTCCTTCTGCCTGCTCTGCTCCCCGCTCTGGCTCTGGTGAATTCTCTCACCCTCCTGCGCTTCTGACTCTACCCAGTGCTTGTATAAACCAAACAAATAAATAAATCTTAAAAAAAAAGAAAGAAAGGGAGAGGATGACTCACAAACTAAAGAGGTTGTAGTAAAGACTACAGGAGACAGAGTGGGGTGATGACATGGGGGAAGATCTGTGGCCTCCAGACAGAGCTGATGGATGTCAGATCTTGTATTTAAAATTAGCTGAGAGTCCTTGGGTAAGTCTCTGCTGTTCTGCAGATACTGAGCCAGGAGGGTAAGCATGAGGACCAAATTAGAATGAATACAGAAAAGCTCTTCTTGTAGGGGCAAATAGGAAGTTTTTTTTTCATTTCTTTTTAAAGATTTATATTTATTTATGCATACATAACTGGGGTACAAGCCAGAGGCATGGTGGGGTGAGAAGATTCACTAGAGACAGAGCAGGGAACGATCAGGAAGACTGACTGAAATACACTTCTGAGGGGAGCAGCAGGCAAGATAGGAGAAGTCTGCTGCGCCATGTGGGTGGCTCCCTGGCCGGCCGGGGATTGAACTTGTGCTGCAGAGGCTGCAGATTGCTTCATAGTGCTGTGCTTAACCCCTTGCACCACCAGAGAGGCCCGCAAATAGGAAGTTTTCAATAAAGAGAAACATGAATTCTGCTAGTGTTACTCCTATTAGTAAACCAGCTGCCTTGGGATGCGAATTTTCAGGGAGGGCTGAGTTTGATAAGACAGAGGAAGTTGGCAGTCACCTTGTGAGGGCCTTAGTGTGTTCTCATCGTACAGCAATGAAGGGGGGAGAAGAAATAGCTGATCCAGACACCCCTCAGTGAAGCAAACCTTAAAGCTTTTATTTGCATTAAACAGAGGCACAACGGAAATTTCACATTTTTAAGACCATGGAAAGGAAAGAGTGTGAGGTCCCCCTGGGCCTTCCTTCCCATTCTGCAGCAGTGGCTTATATCCTTTGGGTGGGTCCCCAGGTCCAGTCAGGCCCCTCAACTCCCAGGTGGTTCTGAGTTGGATCCTTTTTAAGTTGTCTGGTTCCGATGTGCTGTTTTCTTTCTAATAGAGCTGCCCTCCTCTTTGAAAGATTAGTAAATGGGCTGCCCATGAGATCTTAGTAGATAGTACAATATAAGAGAAACAGGAGTGATGTTAGGGGCAGACTGGCTACCTGCCCTTTCCGGTCTGTTTCCTTATCTGCAAAATGGTTATATCCATCTCAATGGCTAGTATTGGGACTGTTAATGATCAATGAGAATAAATGCTGTCCCACAACATTTCTGCTCTGCCACATTTCCTCTCAATTTTTCTTGAAGGATTTGCCATCCTGGGAAAGGCACACCTTTAGTGTTATAGACACACCTGTCCTCCTCCAGTGTCTGTGGGCACTAAAGAGATTCCACAGAAATTGGCCCCGGTGGATACTGCAGCCACTGCAAGGGTCAGGAAGTGGGCAGCTTAAATAACAAGTCACTGAGAGAACAAGGAAAGGGGACAGGCACACTGCTGCATTTAGAAATGACATCACATGGTGTATACAGTCTAGATCATTTTTAATCACCTTTAGTCTCATAAATATACCTGCAATTTAGTTCTCCTTAGCTGTGATGAGTCTTGTTCTCTGCTTTGTCTCTGGTTGTGTGGGTGAGGGGATGCCAGGTGAGATTAGAAATCTGTAGTTAGTTCGTGCTGTTCAGAGACAATCATGTGGATACATTATCCAATGGCAGCAATAGTTTTCTGGTAGGTGACAGGAGAGAGGATGCTGGTGCCTTTTGCGCACAGTCCTGTCAGATCTAATGTGAATTTGGTCGAGGTCTAACTCCTCATAGGAGAATTATTTTCCTTTGTTCTTATGCTCTAGGTTACTTCCCTAATAAAAAAATGGTGCTTTCCATAAACTTTAGACAATAATTACAAAAATACTCACCTGGAGGGAGTAATTGTTTCTGTCAGCTCAGGGTGAGCTTGCGTGTACATGTATGCATATGTTTATCAACTTCTCCTTCCTACCTTCCAGAAGGCGCATGGACCTGACTCTCCTTTGGTATCTTTCACAATGCCTGAGGCTACTGGGAATTTCCTCTGCTTAATTTCAGAACCAACTGACCCCTAGCTTTCTATGCCAAGACAAAATAATGTCCTGTGACCTACAGATACTTCTCTGTTTCTGGAAGGGAACACAGCCCTCAAACTGTCATGAACTTATCCCTAAGGGTCATTGGCACTGCCCTCTCAAGGTAGAGATCTGCAGTGATCTTCCCACCTTTTTATTCCTCCAGAAGCCATAGATCAAGTACCATCATGGCCAGACCCTGTGCGAGGTCAGCTGGGAAATGAGTAAAACAAAGCCCTTGCTTTCCAGGAGATTATATTTTTTCCTCTTATAATCTCTCCAGAATTCCCTCCCAAAGAGGAAAAGATTGATAAAGCTTTTTAAACAATCACAGCTGGTATTTATTGAACTTTTCTAAGAGTTTTTAAATGGTCTAACTTGAATAAATTGATGAACTATTATTACCATCATTCCCATCTTACAATTGAAGAAATTGAGTCACACCTCCCCAAACCAGGCAAAATGTGTTATCTCTAAGAGCTGCAGGGCAAACTGGGGAGTGAAGCAAAAGGCTCTGTGTCAGCTTTATTTATCTTCTCCTTAAGAACTTATTTATTTATTTATTTATTTATTTTAAAGATTATTTATGCATACAAGAGCTGGGGTACAGGCCAGAGATGCGGGGGGTGAGATGATTCACCAGAGACAGAGTGGGCAACAGAACAGGCAGGCTGACTGAAATACACTGCTGAGGGGAGCAGTGGGTGAGACAGGAGAGGTCTGCTGCACCATGTGGGTTTCTCTTTGGCTGGCCGGGGATCAAACTCATGCTACATAGGCTGTGGATTGCTTCGTAGTGCAGTGCTCAACCCTTTGCGCAACCAGGGAGGCCCAAGAACTTATTTAGAAGACACTTGCCCTCTGTTTTACAGCAGGATTCAAAGAAAGCATCTAGAGTTTCTCCCTTTAAAATGAGCCTTGTTCAAATACCCAGACGCTAGCAGGAGAAATGACTGGTTGAAAATGCAGGAGCCAGCCCACCCCCATGATGGCATGGGGTGCAGAAGTTGTTCAGGGTCGGCAGCATTCTGGTGCTTTCAGAGTGTAAGGCGGGTTGATGGGGTTTTGCATGGAGGGGGCTTTTGCATTGGCCACTGACTTTCTTTCTCCTGGAATCTTTGCAATGGGTGGATTCTTAGAGGAATTTATATTTCTGGCCTAAAATTAATTGCTGGCAAATCAACAACTTATTTACTCTTTGAACTAAAGCTACAAAGTTTGATCCTGGCCTAGATTCTCTTGTGTATTTCATGGTTTCTCATAGTAGTATTGCACTTCTACGTCCCTTTCCCACTGTTGAGCTCAGGGTAAGATCTTTGCCTCTTATGATGCGTACTTGGACTTGAGTAATCTTTCCTGGGTTGGACAGGCTTGACCCTTTGGTATCCTACCACTAGAGCCCTGTCACAGTCTAATTGTGAAGAAAACCACAAAGGATGAGAGACTTGCTCTCTGGCTTTCCAATGAAAGGCCACAAAAACCATTACCAAAGAGACGTGGGGTACCTAGAAAGGTGCAGATAATACTTCCACTTTACATAGAGGTCCTGCAGCTCACCTGAGGGCATAGTCAGAGGGTTAGGACAGTATTCAAAGACAGTTCTGCACCTTGGCCACTGTATAGTGGCATATGAGAGACTCTGAGCTGAAGAGAGTCCCAAAGCATTTCCCCAGTATTGTTCTCAGCTTGACAAGAGGGGTTGGGGGGCTACTGTAGTTTAAGTAGAAGCAAAATGTGCTAGGACTTGTAAGAACAGAGGAAGCTCCCCCAGGAATGTTTACCTCCAGACTGGCGACAGAAAGGATTTAAATGATCACCAAGAATAATATGCCCTTGTATTTTTGACTGATGGGGACATTTCAGACAGGAGCGATAAAAGCTTCTCTATATCATTTTCTTTCTGGCTTATTTCGCTGAGCATGATCCCGTCTAGCTCCATCCATGTTGCTGCAAATTGCATGAGTTTATCTTTTTTTGATTGCTGAGTAATATTCCATTGTGTGTATGTACCACATCTTCTTGATCCAGTCATCTATTTTTGGGTATGCTCAGCGAAATAAGCCAGAAAGAAAAAGAAAAATGCCAGATGGTCTCACTCAGAGTAGGAATTTAGAAAGCCTAAATAAGGGACCAGGAAAAAGATTAATTATAATAAAGTAAAAATCAAAATCAACAAGCAACTATAAACCAGAGATACACTACAGGGGGAGGGAAGAGGGAGTATGATCAATACGGGGTGTGTGGGGGGGAATTGTATGGGGACTATAATCAAGATGAAAATGCATACATGTGCAAAAATGAAAAATGATGTAAAAAATATATAAAATTTAAAAAGTGAAAAAAAAACATAATGAATAAAAAAACAAACTTCTCTGTATCATAGCACTGGACACCAGTGGAATTGGGAAATCCCCACCTTCTTGTCTGAGAATAAAAAATGGAAAACCCAGTGACTGTGTTTGGGAAGTCATGCCAACGGGGGCCTTGGTGGAAGGGAGTGTATGTCTGTACTTGAGATCACTCATCCAAGGTGGGAGGTGGACAGTGGGGTGGGGATTGCAAAATGAGATGAGTGATTCTGACTCTCTTGAATTTTCAAATTCTTGTACAGTTCTGGAATCTTACAGGTGGGGTCACCTGCTTTACAATTCATTTAAAATCCTCCATATTTATTTGGAGAGCTTCCTCTCCTGAAAGAGATCTCTTTTATTTGCCTTTGGGAGGAAGAAGCCCTTTGACTGCCAAGCAGCATCACCACAGCCAAGGTCACATTTACTTTGTCCTACAGCGCCCGCTCTGGCCTTCAGAGGCAGGGATGCTCACCACTTGGGAGTCCAGGACAGGGACTGCCAGTGCTGGTGGCTCATCCTGGGACCACCAGCTTTCTGAAGCACATGCCAGTGTTAGGATACCTAAGTCACCACACAGTTGGGAAAAGACAGGGAATATGAGATACAAGAAAAGGAAGATATGAAACACCATTACACCCCCTTCCTCATCCCCCACCCCCAGTGTAAAAATGAAACTTCCCGGGTAAATGAATACGGGTGTTTTCATTTCAAGGATTTCTCCAGTGTATGTGTTAAGCTGGAGGTCAGGGGGCAGGATGGGTAGAAGGAGATGATATCTTTCACTGGAATCAATGCCCAGTGATGTCCAGCTGAAGATGCTCTGAGATTCTGCTTGTGGGACATCAGGGTGGCTTGGAACCATGCCCGGCCACTTAGCTGTTGGAGAGAGGAGAGCAGAGCTCCCAGGTCTGGCCCTGGTGGGGGCATTCTGGAGGGTTCGACCTGGGTGGGGAGGTGCTCTGCTGTGGCAGGTGGCAGGGAGGGCAGGGGCTGACTCCCACTAGGATACTATGACCTGGAGACCCAGACTCTCTCTCCATGTTGTGCTTTTGTTTTTGTTTTGTTTTCATTTTGATTGTGGGGGGCACTGCTTTTGAGGGTCAGAGGCTCTGCTCTGTGCGGGATCCCCTTGAGCTTTGTTCTAAACCATTAAAACACAAACCTGTCTGTGTGTTGAGCCTTTGCCATTCGGGCCCACTTGGTCCTGGGAAGTCAATTCTGGAAAAAGAAACCTGGGTGCTCCTGAGGCTGTCAAGGTACAACTTCAGGTGAAGCATTCCCCCCGCCCCCCAAATCACGCAGCAGCATCCTTTTCCACCGTCTGCTGATGCGAGAGCAAAGAGCCCCTCCAACAACGCCTTCTGTGCTCCCTAGGGCGCACGGGCCCGACGCTGTGCTGATGGCCGAAGGTAACCCTCCTCGCGAGCTGACGCAGTCGCAGATGCTGCACATCGCGCAGCAGATCGCCGCGGGCATGGTCTACCTGGCGTCCCAGCACTTTGTGCACCGCGACCTGGCTACCAGGAACTGCCTGGTCGGCGAGAACCTCCTGGTGAAAATCGGGGACTTCGGCATGTCCCGGGACGTGTACAGCACTGACTACTACAGGGTGAGTGGGGCGCTCATCGGGGAGACCTTGGGGCTTTCTTTTCCTGGCGACCCCTGCTTGTATTAGTTTGCCAAGGCGGCCATGACAAAATCCCACGGACTAAGTGGCTTAAACAACCAAAACTTTTTCACACTTCTACAGGCTGAAAGTCTACGCTCAAGGAATGTTTGGCTTTCTCCTGAGAGTTCTCTCTCGGAGTGCAGCTCCTTCTCTTAGTCTCCTCACCTGGCCTTTTTCTGCGTTTCATCTTCTTCGAAGGGTACCAATTAGATTGGAGTAAGACCCATCTAGTTTTAGCTTAATCACCATTTAAAGGGCCTGTCCCCAAACATAGCCATATTCTGAGATATTGGGGGTTAAGGTTTCAACATAGGTTCTGAGGGAACACAAGTCAGCCCACGCTACCAGTTCTGCCCTGCTCTTTCCATGGCTCTCTGGAGTGGTGTATGCCAGCTCCAGCTCCAAGAGGGACGTCCTGGGCATAGGATTCTGCCAGGGGAACAAGAGGGCTTGGGTAGACTCCTGGTGGCACAAAATTAAATGATTTTATCCTGAATTTAATTCTGTGAATTTATGCCTGAAATCTTTGTCTGCGGTTTGACCTACAGTGAACTTGTTTGCATAAATAGTAATACTCTGGATCTTGGAAGTTCTCACCCAGAACTGCCGTGATTAATGGTGGATCAGCTGGTGGCCATCTTGGTGTGATAGAAAGGTTCTCTACTTCCTGCACCTGATTGACCACCCAGACTGCCCAGGTTCTGCTTATCCATAGTAATTCTGATCTACTGATTCCCTAGAATTGGCCCCTTTGGCATGTTCAATTTGTTAACTAAGATTTTGGAACATGGATATGAGAGGAAGAGACTTCTCTGGAAGCTTGAAGTCTTAATATTCTTCCGTGAAGGTTTGAGGTGGCATGGGATCACTTCAAGCCCTCCCTTTGGTTTTTGGTTAATTTGCCTGATTTTCAAATAGAAAGGAAGGAAATTGGAAGGAAAAGGAATAAATGTGCTCTATGTGTATAGAATAAGGGAATGACTTGATTTGTTTGCCTAGTAGGGTAGGATAGGTGAAGAAAATGCCTCTCCTTGCCTTTGCTCTTCCTTGTGTGATTTTATTTTTGAGGAGGAGCCTTTGTCGTGTTTTCTCTCCCTGCAGCCTTACCACTGATGCCTCTGCATTTTAGTTGAGCCAATTTTGCCACAATTATCTAAAAAAATGAACTCATTGCTTTGCTGCAGTCTTCTAAAGAAAGATTGTTTTCTGTGGTTTCTTCATTTGAAACTTTGTCAACATTTGACAGAGTGGAGATCAAATTGAAAATGAGTCTCTTCCGGGTGTATTTGTGGGAAACAAGGGCAAAATGGAGCCGCAAAGCACCTGTCCTGAATTTAACATTGATTTGTTTGTTCTCAATATCTAAAACACAGGAGAGGTTTTTCTCTACTGATGAGTGTATCTCCTCTGTTAGCTCTGCTGCCTTGGCAGGAGCTGGGGCTGTCTGTCTAAGGGAGCAAATATTTGGTGCATTCCTAAGGAAAAGGTTTTCTGATTTTGTCAAGCATCTAAGGGAGGAACATGTGACCCAAGCAACAGCTTTCTCTTTAGCAGTAAATTAATAAAGGTTTCAAAGCACCCAGGACAAAGTAGGTGTTCAGTAAATGTTCCAAGCTTATAAGCATCCAAATATATAAAGTTATGCTTTATTACCAAAACCAGAACACAACTATGTTGAAACCAATGTCCTCTTCTACATGTCTAGAAAAAAAATCAGAAGAGAAAAACTGAAAAAAAATATAAAGATAACTCACCCAATTAAAAGATAGTTAAAGGTTTTAATGTAGAGTTATCTTCCAAAAAGATATACAAGTGGTCAATAAGCACATGAAAGATGGTCAACATTATTAGTCTTTAGGGAAATGTAAATCCAAACCACAATGAGATATCACTGCACACTCACTGGGATGGCTGCAATAAAAACACAACAACAAATGTTAACAGGGATGTGAAGAAATTGGAAACCTCATAAAACTGCTGGTACAAGTGTAAAATGGTATCTGGGAGAACAGCTTGGCAGCTGGTCAATGTTCAAGACAGAGTCTCCCTATAACCCAGCAATTCTACTCCTAAGTATATACCCATGACAACAGAAATCATATGTTCTCTCAAAAACTTGTAAGGAAATGTTAATGGCAGCAATGTTTGTATAGCTAAAAAGTAGAAACAACTTAAGTGCTCATTAACTGATGAATGGATAAATAAAATGTGATAATCCATATAATGGAATATTATCCATCAGTAAAAAGTATTGATGCATGCTATAACATGGATGAGCCTTAAAAATATTATGATAAGTTGTAGCAGCAGGACAGGACACTGAGCAGATTCTCTATGACCCGGGCAGACAGAGTGAACAAGGAGAGAGTCCTGGACTCCTCAGCGGGTTTTCAGGCTTTTATTGGGATTCACCAGGTACACAGCAGTCAGGGGTGCTGGGGGGCTGGCAGGCCTCCCAGCCCCCAGCAAGTCTTCACTCTTTCTGGGCTCTCCAGCATTCTCTGGTGACCTCTGCTTCTGCTCTCTGCTCTTCCATCTGTTCTCTGCTCTCTCCTGGTTCTGCTGGCATCTCCGTGATGCCGCCTTTTTAAGTCCAGGCTTAGCCCAGGTGAATCCCATTTACATATGCCCACACCCTACTCCAGGGCCCGCCATCAGGCATGTATTCAGGACCGCAAGGATCCATCATCAATCCTAATGGCAGGAGGGCAGAAAAGCCTGATACTTTACCTTACCCCACGTAAATGAAAGAAACAACACGAAAGATCACAGAAAGTTATGTGATTCTATTTACATGAAATGTCCAGAATAGACAAAGTCATCGAGGTAGAAGGTGGACAAGTGGTACCAGGGGCTGGGAGAATGGAAAACTAAGAGTGTTTGCTATAAGATATGGGGTTTCCTTTTTGGCGTATTAGAATATTGTAGCACTGGATAGTGGTGATGACTGTTCATATGTTTATGAATGTACAAATTAACAGACACCTTATAAATATATATATATATATATATATATATATATATATGCTAAACGCCAGTGATATTGTATACTTTAAAAGTATATGAATTTATGGTACATGGATTACATCTGAAAAGAAAAATATTAGCAAAATAGTTGTCATGATTATGAACATAAGGAATTAGTCTTGGTCATTTGCACATAAAATCATTGTCACTTCTCACCTACCATATTTTTAACCATTTGTTAAAAAGGAAATTCTTTATGTAGGTGACTTTCCTGAAGCATTTCCTTCTAAATTACTTGGAAGTAATAATGATTCCTGTTTCTTTATTTGTTAAATGTTCTTAGACCTATTCCATTTATTTAATCCCACCCCATCATCATCACTACTCACTCACATTTGTAGTATTTGGATGTTTAGTTGGTTGTATGTCATTCCCATTGAAGATGAAAAGGAACTGGTCTTATGTTGGCCTCTGTTACTGGTGGAAATAGGCAGGTGAGGGTCAGAAAATAGATGATGGATTAAGATATGACCACTTGATAGTAATCTAGGAAACAATCAACATTGGGAGTTTATTCTCTCTCCTCTGAAATTTCAAAATGATGCCCCACCATTCTGTTGAATTTGTTCAATGGACCAAAGAAGCTGTTGCTCTGATATTACAGTGTCTGTTTCCCAGAACATGCTTGCTTATATGGTTAGCGGTAAACCCCTCCTCATCATGGTGTCTCTCTCTTCCTTGTCATAGCAGCTATGGAGTATGTTCCCCTTACGTATCTCGGCTCTCTCATTGCCAGCACCTTAAACAGATTTTTCTTCATTATTTTCTTCCTATCCTCTCTAGCAGCCTTATAACTCCAAGTGGAGGGGCTGCTGTGTTTGATGTGTATTGTCATCACCACTGTTATATGTCCCTTCTGCCATGGGAATAAGGAAGGATTTTGTGTATGTCATAGCTTTCGTCTATGGAAGGATCCGGCCTGGAGTCAACTAGATTGAGGTATTAATGTCTCTTTCCTTTAAGCAAGAACTAGTCCCACTGGTAGCCTGAGGCTTGTGCTTATGGTGGCTTGTCAGCAACCTGATGCAGTGGCCACAGCTCTGTGCAGTCCATGGCAAGAGGAGTGGGTGACAGCTGTTCTTCCATCATAGGGGAGCTGGCTCAAGGCTTCCACCCCATTGCAGCTGAGCTAATTATGTCTTCCCGATGAAGGGAGAAATCAGAACACTATATTTGTTTGAAACCAGCCTGATATGGTGGGTCCAGAATTACTCTAGCATTTATGTTCTCTGAATTGTTTTAATTAGCAGTTCTGCAGCACCAGTCTTTCATTTTGTTTTTATTCCTTCCCTCCCTGGAAAAATATGATATTTAGGAAACATCTGAACCAGAGTTCTGTCACATTTTGCCTGTCGGAGACCTCAGATCTCTCTCCACTTGATCATTACTATCACACAACAAATCCACTGAAATTTTTTTAATGTGCACTTTGGTGGCTTTCATTGTTTTCATCCGACATGTGCCTAAAATGAATGTGATCCATTGGTGTGGAGAGAGCTCTAAGCATTTGAAACCCTAGCTGTTAAGCCTTGTTCTCCCTTGGGTGAACTTTATATTGGGGTGGTAAGAAATCCTATCCTTTAATTCATCTTCCACTTAAGAAGAAGAGAAAAGGAAGTAAAATAGGCACATTAATTTATGGTGCACATTTAGAGAAACAAATGACTATAGCTAAGCTATGCAAGGCCCTGGTGAGGCTCCTAAAGTGTTGCTATTATATCACCAACACAGTCCAAGAAATTATCTTTAGGTGCTCAATGCCAGCTTATTAACTGCAAAGAGAAAATATGGGTTGTACTAAAATCAACTGATATAACAAGTAGCAAAAAGGATTGGTTTGAACTGCAGAACCTTCTCCCTTATCCTGCCCATCCTGGAGTAAGTGGGCTGATAAACTAGAAAATAAAGTCCTGAGCCACAAGAAGAGAGGAGAAGGCTTAAGCAATTTAAGAACTAGACAAGCACATAAGAAATAAGAGTTACCTTTCATCCTTTGGTGTTTGAAAAGAATGTATTTATTTTTAATAAATATTTTAAAGTAATGTGAACATTATAGACAGGCAAATAAATTTGTAGGTAAGAAGATGGATAGATGATTGATGAATAGGTATACATACGTACATACTTACATATGTATATACATATATATGTACATACATACATGATAGATCTTGATTTATTCCACAATTTTTTTAGTGTGCTATTGTTAAAGTGCCAATGCCATTCCCTCTATAAGGGCTAGCATTGCCTCTACCTGGTGAATGCCTGCTCATTCTTCTTTTTTTTTTTAAAAGATTTATTTATTTATTTATTTATATAAGCACTGGGTACAGTCAGAAGCACGGGAGGGTGAGAGAATTCACCAGAGCCAGAGCGGGGAACAGAACAGGCAGGCCAACGAAATACACTGCTGAGGGGAGCAGCAGGCATGGCAGGAGAGGTCTGTACGCCATGTGGGACCCTTGCTGGCAGCCGAGGATCAAACTGGCGCTGCAGAGGCTGTTGGCAGCTTCGCAGTCCAGCGCTCAACCGCTGCACCACCAGGGGAGGCCCTGCCTGCTCATTCTTAAAAGGCCATTCCAATTTCACCTTCTTCCCAACTTTCTTCAATACATAGTAATTATTCATAAATCTGTGATCCCTCAATATTTCATGTAAATTGTCACTCGAGTCATGGCATCAGAAAAATGGAGTCTCATCCATCTTTGTTTCTGCACAGATGGCAGAGTGCACAGCACATATGAGGTGGCCAATCAATGATTGAACAGGAAAAGCCCTATGAGTGTGTCTTTTAAGTTCTGTAGATACAGAGGACACTCAGATTTTCAGATGGGACTGGCTCTGAGGCTAGGAGTTGACTTCAGGAAGTAAATCTAGGGAACTGGTGGCATCCACACATCAGACAATTTCTTTTCATAGAGAGTCCAGAGCTAAAACTTGCTTGCATTCAGACTCTAGTCAAAAAGCTTCTTCTGAGCCCTTGAAAACAGGCACAATGTTCACTTTAAGAAGAAACACAATCTCTTCCTGAAGGAAGAATGAGCTCTTTGTCATTGGTTCTCTTTTGCAGGCATCATTTCCTTATTTTCTCCTAATATATTATACTGACACAATACCTCTTTTAACTTTCACATGTGTAAGTATAGATATTTCTGTCTGGGCTCTTTTGATTAAAGTGGTCCTAGAAACCTAAGACATTATTTATTTTATGAAATCATCTCCAATTTATGCCTCATATAACAGTTAAAGAAAGCACAATTAGAGGAACCTGTCTGCCAGGGAGAAATCAGAACATTAAGTTCAGACTAATTCTATAATAAACTAGATTTGCATGCATTGTTTTAGGACTCTAAATTGGTTTCATTTGTATTCAGATCTTCCTAAAAACTTCTACATATGCTTTGGAGTTGCAACAGAGTATCCCTGCATTCATTCACTCACTCATTTATTCAACATGCATTTGTGAAGCAACTATGGGTTTGATGCTGTGCTAACTACTAGAGGCATCCAGATAAAAATGACACATTTCAATCCAATATGATAAGTGCAGTAATAGATGTATGTTCTAGGAACTCTAAAGAACCACTGACTGAATTGTCGGTGTAATTACCAGTAAAAGTGATGTGTTGCTCAGGTAGGCCATTGTTTTCATTGTTGCAGAACCCTGAGAGCCTTTAATCTGTTACTGCACCTTGTGACCTTTTCAGAAGGGCTGTGGAAAGAACCAAAGCCAGCAATGAAGAACTGGCCAATCAAGACTAAGGACTGAACTCACTTGTACAGTGAGTTGATCAATAGCTTGTGAGTGAAGACTTAGACAACACTGTCTTTCTACTACATAGGAAATGAAGTGAAGGCAAATGTCTTTGGGGTAAGCAAGGAAATGATCTGATGGGTTCACTTTCTGCCCCCTTCATAGCCTCTGTTCTTTATTTGTGGTGAGCTCCTGCCCTTAAAGATTGTTGAGTAAAGATAAATTGAAGTAGCACATAAACATTGATAAAAAATAAGAGTAATAAAATTCCTCAGTGGGAGATCTTTTTCCTCTGTATGTAATGCTTCTTTTTTTCTCTACTTGATTTTTAAGCAGATTTTTCTCTGTATTTCTGGTCTTGAACTCTTTGATTATGATGTGGCTTGGTAGAGTTCATTGGATTTATTGGATTTGTGGGTTTATAGCTTTTGTAAACTCAGAATTTTTTTGACCATTGTTTATCCCAACATTTCTTCTGCCCTCTCTACTCACTGCCTGGGGACTCCAATTTCTTCTGTTAAGCTGCTAAAAGCTATTTCATGGCTCACTGAACTCTTTTCATGGTTTTGGACTTTTTGTGAGTGTTTCATTTTGGATCATTTTATAACTCTGTCTTCAAGTTCTATAGTATTTTCTTCTTTGGTGTTTTATTTTTCATTATTCCCATACAGTGTATTTGTCATCTCACATATTGTAGTTTTCAAACCTTGAAGTTCAGTATAGGCATTTTCTTATATCCTTCATGTCTCTAGATAACTTTTTAAGCATATGAAATGAATTTAGAGTAGATATTTCAATATATTTGTCTATAATTCTAATGTGTGTCAGTCTTAGATTTATGTTGAGTTTTCTCCTCATTATGAGTCATATTCTCCTGCTGCTTTGTATGCCTGATAGTCTTAGAATGGATGCCAGACATTGTGGATTTTTTCTTGTTGGATGTGTGATATGTTTGCATGCTATAAATATTTTTGAGCTTTGTTCTGAAATACGATTATATCACCTTGAAACAGTTTAATCCTTTGGTGAGTTACTATAAGGATTTATTAGGTAGGACTAGGCTAGAGCTTATAGAATACTAAAGCTATTAATTTCCCACTACTGATGCAGCAACAACTGTGTACTCTACCCATTTCCCCATGAACCATGCCATTTTTATTCTGCTTCATGGAAACCGGCACTTCTCCTGGACCTATGTCAACACTGGGCACCATTGCTACTAGCCATTTGGGTAGCTCTTCTCTAGTGAGTAGTAGTGTCCTCACATGAATGCACTGGTCACTTTGGAGTTGCATACTCATTGGGCAAACTCTGTAGATATTCAGGTTCTTTCTTTTTTGTAGCTCTCTCTTCTCTAGAATTCTGTCCTTTCCACTCAAGCCAAATTGACCTCCCCTGCCTCTTAGCTCCATCTCCTTAAACTTAGGGAGCTTTCAGAGTTACAGCCAGGTTCTCCCTTTCAGTTTCTTTCAATGAATTAAACTTGAACAATCATAGGACTCACCACATTTCTTTCTGAGGGATCATTGTCCTTCATTGCCTTAGTTAGATAATGTCTTGAAAAAAATTGTTTCACATATATATAGGATACTTTTGGTTGTTTCAGGTGAGAAAGTAAACCTCTGTGACTCCATCTTGCCTAGAAGTAGAAGACAGTTGTCAACTCTCTTGATGATGAATGTTGTTTCAAAAATCTATTAGTGAACCACTTATAAGCTGCAGTAAAGAAAACAAATTCTCCCACTTTTTAGAACTGTTACTTCCTGTGAAGGTCTTTTTCCCCCTTTTTAATTAAATAACTTACATTTACATAAGACTTCTACAATTAAAGTTTTCCTGCCTACACAAGATTATTACTTAAGTAGGAGAGTAGATTTTCTCCATCTCCAGTGAGTATTAAGCAAGAGAAAATTATCTTAGCTTCTTCATTACGTCTGAGATATTTTCCAGTCTCAAAATGTGAATTGGTTCAAGAAGACTTGAGAAAAAGACATGTGGGCCGGATATTAATAACGCTCCACATTTTTCACATTTTCCCACTGTCTTTGTTTCCTGGTTAGGGACAGAACACCTTGAATAGATAAATGATCAGAATAGTCCAAGATGTTATTGCATATAAAGTTCTTAACCTTGCCTCCACAAGTTGTTGGTATGGAGTGAGACATGTTCTATTCCCTAAAGAGAACCACACATCTCCTGCAGAGAGACACATAAATGGGTCACTCTGATGTTGGACAGTGTGATACATGTGAGGAGTAGGGTAAACTGATTCTGGGGAGGATGCAGGATGAAATCTGGAAAGTTCTCTGGAAGAAATAGGATTTTTGCCCTGGGTCTTAAAGGAAGAATAGCAAATGGGGGTGTTGAGCTTAAGGACTATTGTGTAGGAGTGAAGTTATAATCAAAACAAGATGACCTGATTACAAGTGTTTCTTGGACAGAACATGTAATTTATAATTTTGACCTCCATAATACCTCACACATTGCTAGGTACCTACTAGGCTCCTACTGATTATAACTGCCTACAAGGAGGTTCTGAGAAGACTGTATGATATTCTTCTTGGAAGTCTTGAATGGAAATGTGAAGACCCATGGTGGGTCTTCAGGTAGGAGATTGTGCCTTATTCCAAATATGACTTACCTTCATTTCTCAACTATCCTTAAAACTTTCTATGAAATGGGCCTCCTCGGTGGCACAGCAGGTGAGTGCTGGGCTGTGAAGCTGCCCGCAGCCTCTGCAGTGCCAGTTCGGTCCCCGGCCACTGGGGAGGGTCCCATATGGTGCGCAGACCTCTCCTGCCGTGCCCGCTTCAACCCTCAGCAGTGTCCTCCATCTGTCTGCCTTTTCTGCTCCCTGCTCTGGCTCTGGTGAATTCTCTCACCCTCCCGTGCTTCTGACTGTACCCAGTAATTGTATAAATAAATAAATAAATCTTAAAAAAAAAAAAACTTTCTATGAATTTTATCCTCACATTGTTATATCACATTTCTGTTCAGTCTATTTTTCCAGATGTGAAAAGCTATACTATTCCAAGAGCTTGTTATGATAACCCCTAATATTGGGTACATATGAAGACTTTTTTAAATGCCAGACCTCTCTGCACAATTGCTGTAACTTCTCTCAGTGATCATCTCATCGATGGTCTGAAGAACTTTGTGCAGGCATAAAATTCTACTTAGCACATAAAACAGATTCTAAATTGGGCTTCACTAACAGAATTTTCAAACAAAGTTGCTCATGGTCTCTGACAGTGAGACCACTTCTCAGTTCTTTCCTGCTCTCAGTAGCATAGCTGTACTACTTTACCTGGTTCTAGAGAACTCCCCACGCTATAGACTCAAGCTTGACTGCATGTCACAATAACTAGAGTGCTTTTGTCAAAATCTTTTTACTGGGCTTCACCTCAGATAACCAGGTTCAGCATGGGAGGTGGGGACATGCAGAGGGCAAATACTGAGAATTTATATTTTTAATGAACTTCTTAGGTGGTCTGGTGTGTCACCAAGTTTAAGGGTCCTATTGGTTCTGCTCAGGAACATTTACAGAAAGTAGCTAAGGATATAATGTGTCTCATTTATGCTAAGCTGTAAGTGATGACATTAAAGCAGATCTTAATTATCAAATTCAAAAGCAGGATAGGTACTGTTAAAAATTTCTTCAAACTTGACCCATTATCTCCCCGGTGGAGATGATATTATAGTCATTAATGGAGTTTTAGAACTTTCAATGGGAAGTTTGAATTTTAATCACTGTCATATGATCATATCCCACTCCCCTTACTGTCAGAGCCCAGATTGATTGAACCATGCCATTTCTGCATTGCAGATGAATTATTCTTTGGGGATCTCCTCTCTCCTCCTAGGGGAGGAGCCTGGCTCATTCTCTAGGTAAACAGTGTGAGAGACAACTTGAGGTAGAGAGCGAGCCAGCCTGCACAGCAAGTTCAAAGCGATGTTACTCTTACTCTTTCCTGGACAAGTCATCAGCGCCGCTAAGCCTCCCTCCTGAGGGAGCCAGGGCTCAGGGTGTGTCAGCGGGAGAGACGGACCCCTGCTGGCCTCCGCTGTCACTGCATGGTTGTACATCTGTGTGGGTGACTGGTGGGGGCCTCCGCAGGAAAGGCAAGAAAAGGCTTGTGAGAAGTCAAACAGCTTGTCAAGGTATCCTTGTGGGTGTCTGTATTGAAGTGTCACAGTGTGGAGGCTTTTTATTAGCAGCTATTTTAGAATCCTCACACTGAAATGGAACAGTTTCTTCCCTACATGGCATCTCCAGGCTGACTTCCTCCCTCACAGCCTTACGGCATTCATCAGCGATCTCCTAGGGGGGTGGAGAACATGACGCCAGGATCCTTTGACGGTGGAGCCCAGCTCCGTGGCCCACGCCCTCAGCCCTGGAGATAATTTGGTTCATTCACATGTTGCTGATGACGGGGATTCGGCTGCAGAGGCTGAGGAGGATTTGAGGTTTATGCCTCGCTTTTGCACACAGCACAGAAAACTTCCTGGGCTTTGCAAGGGGATAGAGGGACTGATGCTCACTTGTATGGGTATAAAAGGGACGTTTCCCACGGGTGAAATTGCAGGATGAGCTCAGTCCATTATTAGTATATATTTTTTATGACTACCACAAATGTTTGAATTCTTCTCAGACTTTTGGGGCAAATAGTATATTTCTTCTGTAAAACTACTTAGGCTTCATTGAAGGAAATAACTGTGATCTTAAAAAATCCTCTCAATGCCTTAGAGGGTTGATGCTAGGTCTTGTAAGAGAGACAACACTTACTGGGCTGCTTTTATAGCTCAACTTGACATGAAACATTTTCAACCATCTTCAACAACACAGGGGGGAGGGTATTTGGAGAGGTGCAGTCATTTTCCTGAGATGCTGTAGCTTATCCTGTGTCAAGGCTGGCATCTGTACCCTTGTTCTCAAATGAGAAAAATAATCTTTCCCACAATGGACCTGTCTGATGACCTCAGTACAACCCCCTCCTCTGCTGCTGGCCTCAGTACAACCCCCTTCCTCTGCTCTTCTCCCTGCTTGGCGAGGAAAAATCTTGGGTGACTATTGGAGCTCTGCCTCTAGAGATCATAACAGTCCTTCTAGGACACTAGGCAACTCACTGTGCAGAACAAAGTCCTAAAGCTTTCTTGGCTGGAGGAGTGAAAGTGATACTTTGCATTTCAGAGCCATAAGATTTCAGATTGGGAAGGGCTTCAGAAATAGCCAGTATGCACTTTTTAAGGAGGGAATCTAGATTCTTTCCAGTCCGGTTAATAGGCCAAGGAACATGGATCCAGCAGACAGTAATCCTGGCTCTAGTTTCACCTTCAGTACATGTGCTGTGTGTCACTGGAACAACTCACTTAACTTCTCTGAACCTTCCTTTCCATCTTAGTAAAATGGTAAAAAATCTGTCCACTGTTACTTGGTGTGGTCATGAAGCCACCATGAAAAGTGTCACATATATGCATGAAAGTTGTTGTCATAGGTGAACCAGAGCAAAGCAGGATTCTGTGGCATGTGCTGGGCCCCTCCTTCCATGTTTAGGAGAATTTGCTCTTAAATAAGCATGCCTGAATCTGAGAAGGGTGGTGAGGAATGTGAGTTATGTCTCAGATCTCTTTGGCATAGTGCCAGGTTGGCATCTTCAAGTCACCTCCCTTGGCCATCACACTTTCCTTCTGTTCTGTCTCCTGAAAGTAAGACATGCCTTGTGTGAGGGTTTCACAGCTCCTCTTCATTCACTGCAGTCCAGTAATGCTTCTGAGGCCTTTGAGAATGCCTAAGCACCCCCGGTGGTCCCTACTGCCTGCTGATCCGTACTATGTTTCTTCTACTATGTATTTTTTTTAAAAAAAAAGATTTTATTTTATTTATTTATACAAGCACTGGGCACAGTCAGAAGCGCGGGAGGGTGAGAGAATTCACCAGTGACAGAGTGGAGAGCAGAGCAGGCAGACTGACGAAGTACACTGCTGAGGGGAGCAGCGGGCGCCAGGAGAGGTCTGCGTGCCAAGTGGGACCCTCACCCGGTGGCCGGGGATCGAACTGGCGTTGCAGAATCTGTGGTCAGCTTCGCAACCCAGTGCTCAACCGCTGCGCCACAGGGGAGGCCCTCTTCTACTATGTATTTAAGACAACTTTAGCTGCCACCATAAAAAAAAAACATGTCTAATATGTTTATGTGTGATATGTGTCCTTTGTCTCTTTGTTGTTGGTCCCAAGCTCTGACTTGCTTACCTTTGTCAGACATTATGAGCCAACGCTATTTACCTGAACACAGAACACTTGCTGTGAATGGAAGTATTTGTGGCATAAGCCACACACTGCAGGACAAGTTCCACTTGGATAGTGCAAGACAGAGCTTTTCCCTTTATAGTTGAAGGAGCCTAGAGACCACATCCCCAAATAAGAACTTACATGCATAAAATAAAATGCAAAGGAACTGTACTGTACGATGCAGTACAGCTGTAGTGTGTTAAACATGTTATAATAAATGCATGAGTTTTTTGTTAAAAATTAAATGATGAGATCTACTGTCAGGCTAATAACCAATTAGATGAATTCAAATTAGTGAACATAAATGAGGTTTGTAGATATCCGCAGTAGCAGTAATACGATAGGAAAATATCTAATCTCTGTACTAGAAGGTGACAACTTCACATATGTTGCTGACATTACTGTGGTTTGTTGCCTATGTTAATAATAATTGAAAGAAATGTTAACTTTTTTCAAGTTTCACTAATTTGAGGATGAAAATTAGATTTAATCCAAGTTTATAAGACCCTTCTATCCATGGATCCCTTGAAGGTCTGTGTATCAAAAGGTAAAGAACTCCTATTTTAGAACATTGAGAATGTTCATTGGTGAGTTATTATGAAGTCCTGCTGGCTGAGAGTATTGTAGAACATGTGAGGCATGGAGAACAGGTGTAGGGGCTATAGCACAGACACCATGGACTCTGGAGGTAGACTTCCTGGGTTCAAATTCCAGTTCCTCTTCTTACTAACTGTACCTTGAGCAAATTACTTAACCTCTCAACACTAAACCTTTCCAACTATTAAATGGCAACAATCGTAACACCTTCTCAAAGAATTGTTATAAGGGCTAACCCTTTTTTAAGCAGTCCCCCCCTTCATAGTGGGTACTTTATGTATCAGCTATCATTATAATTATGTATAGACATTTAAAGAGAATATCTCAGAATAAACAGCATTTGAATGAATCAGTGCTGTGTAGGCCAGTGTTAAGTCAGTGTTAAGTTGTTGTTTGACTGACTATGAGTTCATTCTATAGTTCTCACCTTTCAAGGATGCTGTGGGACCAAGGGTCTTCATGGTGTCAATATCTCCCACCCAGCAAATTTACCTAAAGGGACCAAGATGACCATTTTTTATTACTTAAATTTGATGAATTCTTACATGCTTCTGGTCATCCCCACTTCCTTTCCAAGTGCTTTCAAACTATCTTAAATATTTGCTATTAAAACTCACTCTGGGTCAAAGGTCATTTTCATTTACCAATTGTTCCCAGAATCCTACTTCTCTTTTGGAAATCATGTCAACTTTTATGCACCTCTCGTTATCATCTTCACTTCTTCCTTTTCCCTTGTTCCTACTGTCTGCACGAATGCCAAACTTAGTGCTGTCAAGGGAAAGTCACTGGGGTACAGTTTAACAAAGCCTAGAGACAAGCATTCTTTTATTTATTTATTTATTTATTATTTTATTTTTTAAATAATAAATTTTATTTTTATATTCCCCATACAATTGCAACCCCCCTTTCTGATCCCAATCCCTCCCCTCCCGCCCCCCCCCCCCAAAAGTGTCTCTGTTTCATAGTTTTTGTTGATTCTGATTTTCACTTTCTTATAGTTATTCATTTTCCTGGTCCCTTATTTAAGTTCTCTAGATTCCTGCTATGAGTGAGACCATCCGGTATTTTTCTTTTTCTTTTTGGCTTATTTCGCTGAGCATGATCCCTTCCAGCGCCATCCATGTTGCTGCAAATTGCATGTGCTTATCTTTTTTGAATGCTGAGTAATATTCCATGGTGTATATGTACCACATCTTCTTGAACCAGTCATCTATTTTTGGGCATTTGGGTTTTTTCCAAAGCTTAGCTATTGTAAACAGTGCTGCTATAAATAT